CATGATGCTTGTAATTGCCCTCCTGCTTTTCCGGATAGTAATGATGATTTTTATACCAATGAGAGTAAGAATGTGAACTATGTGTTAAATAATAATAATGTGCAAAGGTTTGATAATCAAAGGGGTCAATGGAATAGGAATTACCAAAAACAAGGTAATTTTGACAACTATAACCAAGGTGGTGGTTATAGGAACCAAGGGAACCAAGGTTCTTGAGGTAACTATAACAATCAAGGTTATAATAGCCAAAATCAAAACCAAAATTATGGTAATCAAAACCAAGATTATGGATTTCATAATCAAGGTAGTGGTAACCATAATCAAGGTTAGGGTCAAAATCAAAATAGGGGTAATTGGAACAATCAAGGTAGGGGCAATTTTCAAAACAACGCTCAAAGAGGCCCTCTACCCGGATTTGTTCCAAAGAATTAAGGTGATAATTCCTATTTACAACCCTCTTCCTCTAGGACTAATTTGGAGGAAATCATTGAAAATCAAACAAAGTTGTTGAACACTTACATGGCCAGAAGTGACAAGAAATTCAATGAAATGATGACTCATAATAAGATGCTTGAAAACCAAATTTCTCAACTTGCCAATGCTTTGAAAGACCATGCTAGTCCTTCATCTTTACCTTCCCAAGGCCTAGATCTCAAGAGACCTGTGAATGTTATTGTTACAAGAAATGGTAAGGTTCTTGAGGAGAGTTTGCCTAAGAAGAGTGAAACTAAGGAAGTCCCCAAGGAGGTTTTGGTAGAGGATGAGAGAGATGGTGCATCTTTGAGTGAGGTTGTGATTGAGACACCTGATCGCAGGTAGATAGGTCGTTAAGCTACCACCCTAACCAAATTAATCATTTATAAAGCCTAAACCTACACTAAACTAGTTAGTGGCAAGTAAAGGGTCGAACCACTAGGGAAGCACGCTAATTCAACATCAAATATCACTAATGCAAGAGTGAAAGGGGGATTGTTTTTGTTGGTTTTGTTGAGTAAGAATACTAAAACTACAAATAAACAAGAAGATGATAATTAAAATCAATAGAAAATGACGCTAGGGATACGGGGGTATCCAATATGATTAGAAAGAGGAGAATAATGGTGATTATCATGAAACTTATGCCAAAGAACACAAGATTCTACCTAAACAATTCATTCTCATGCAATAGTCTAGGCAAATCAATGAAAGAGGTCTACACTAATAAGGATCATTCTCATGCATCCTATTAGTTACAATCAATTCAAGAGAATAAAGAAGCACAATCCATAAAAACTCCACTTTAATAACTCATTCTCATGCAATCATTAAAATAGAGGTGATCCTAATCTAGTTCAAATCACTTTCATGCATTTAAACTAGAAAACATCAAATAGAGTGCAACAATAATCCCAAGCTAATAAAAATCATGTCTTTCATCAATATATGGCATAAGTTCAATCTAACCATCATCATTCATCAAAAATCAAATCATATATTCCACCCCCTTCCCCTAGCCAAAAGTTTAGCCTAGAGAAGGGAGATTAAACACAATATCAAAACTAGAAATAAACTCAAAAAACTCAAAGCAAAACATAATTAAAATCAATGAAATCAATAACAACTAGATGAACTAATAAGATTAACAAGAATAAACAACAATAAAACAAATAAATAAAACTAAAGGAAAGGAGAAGAGATTACTAAAGAAAGGATTAATGAAAGATGAAAACTTGAATTCTTGCTTGATTGAAACTTAAACTTGAGCAAAGTTGAATCTTGGAAGAAAATTGAGCAATAATCTATTTTTCTCTCTCTAAAAATTATCTACTCTCACCCTAAGAGAGAGAAGCTCTCTCTAAAACTAGGAAGAAGATCTAAAAATATCCAGTTCCCCCGTACAAAAACAAGGCTCGCAAATATAAAGGAAGTCGCGAAAAAACGCTGAACAGGGCTCGTTGTGCGCCCGCACATGGCATCTGTGCACCCGCGCATTTGTGGGTTGCGCAGCTTGCTGCTTGGGTGTGTGCGCCCGTGCTGCTGGCTGCGCGCCCACGCACAAGTCGCGCGCAGGTTGCACAATACTTTCTGCCTCGATTCTGCAATTTTGCCTCTTTTGCGCGGGTTCTGACAGGGCTGCGCGCCCGCACACATCAGCCGCGCGCCCGTGCACATTGTGCGCGCTCTTGCACGTTGCTTTCTTCGATTTTTCTCTCATGATTCCTTGGCTTCTTCTATGCAATCCAAGACTTCAAATACCTAAGCACAAACACCAAGGGAAGCAATAAGGTATAGGGAACGGTGCAAACACGCAATGAAGGCAAGCATTCAAGAATTTACGCGATTTCATTAAAAACACATCGAGACATGTATGCACGCATTATTTGAACAAAACAACTACAAAACACCAACAAAACAACTACAAAACACCCTAAGACAAGCTAAAACAAGGCATAAACACTATCCTAGGAGTGACAAAAATGTCACTCATCAAATTCCCCCAAGCTAAACCTTTGCTCGTCCTCGAGCAAGACAAAGAGAAAGGGAGAGGATTATTCAAGCAAAGCTAAGACACTAAAGGACAAAAGAATGTACACTAACTCACTTTCGTAGGAATAACGGTCAATTTTAGCGACTAAAGACAAGCCCTTTAAACCCCTAGATCGCACTAGAGGACGAGTATGCTCTCGTGAGGGTTTCCTAAGAGCTTAACCCACAACTCTAGACAAAAACCAAGGAAAAACAGAAAGAAAAAGGAAAACAAACACAAAAAACAAACACATCCATGACCAACATAACATGGCAAGGATTAGGAAACCAATCAAGCTCAATGGCGGAAAATACTCCATTTGGACTCAAAAAGAAGAGACATGCACCAAATAATATTCACCTTTCTTAATATAATGAGGGGAAACACGTTCTAAGATGCTCATGGTTGAGAGAGACAAACCTAAGCTAAGCATAGAGAACTAGAGAATTCATTCTCCGCCCTAGCCCCATCTAAGACGGTCCACGTTCTCTCCACTAGCTAGCTCCTCATGATTCCACGAAGGAACCGGAAAAAGATTCAATTTGTGGAATTAGTGGGTCATCCCGACATCTCAACTATGCATACTCTCTCCATAGGGTTGAAATCTATCTCCCTCCACCGGAATTTGACCTCACCCCTCTAAAGTCTAAGGATCTTAACTAGGGTTGTAACGTAAGGAAAAGGGTTAAGGCGGGGTAAAAATTTGAAAATTTTGGTGATATTTCCTAAGTGAAGCAAAAGGGTGATCAAACCTCAAAAATAAACTCAAGAAATCGCCAAACATCAAACAAAATTACCAATAATGTCATCTCCCCCAAGTTACTCAGCACCAACATTCCAAAAAATAAAAGAAAACGAAGTAACGTTCCCCCCCCCCCCCCCAAGCTTGAACGAAGCATTGTCCTCAATGCTTAACTTAGGGAAGAAAACGAAACCTACTCTTTTTTTTTTAAATATATATATATATATCCTTGCCTTTTTTAACTAAGGACGGATTTTTCGAGGATGAATTTGCTTTATTACACACAATATATACAATTTACTTTCTTGCTTGGTACAAAGAGCATAATAATTTCTAATTTTCATTACAACACAAAACAAACTCTCAAACCGAAACGCTTCACAAACTAAGGGTTAGGGAAACAAAAGGTCATAAGGCTTGCATTATGGCTCATAATCAAGAAAGGGAATAGGCTCAAAGGGTTGGCAAGAGGAGAAAATGCAAAATAAAAAAAAAATATGTAACAAAACAAAAAGAAGATAAAGAAAAATAAGAAAAGGGTGCCATTTTCCTCCCCTAGAGCTGCTTGGTCACGATCTTGGGAGTTAGAGGACAACACAAGGATTAAGATATGCATAGTCAAGGATCCTAAGCGCCGCTCAACAAAATTGATGGAGGCTTGAACAATTTAAATCTCACAAGGGATGGGAAGTAAGCAAATACTAACTAAAGAGCTTCAAATCCACTATAGAGAGCAACACCATCTTACCACTTTTCCGTGAACTAAGGGTTCAAACGTCCTCAATAGTTCTTAACCTTGCTACCTTAGCGTAAAATTTGTCTATCTCAACCACAACCACTCTCAAACCGAGTAGGCCATCATCAATTAGGAAGAAAAACATTCTTTGGCACATTATCAAAGCAATCAATTCCAAATGCATGAGCGAATCCCAAAACAAATTCATTTTATCTTTCCAAAGTCATGTTTTCCACAAAAAAAAGAAAATAAAACAAAAGAAAGAGGAAGAAATCAAAAAGGTTCACAAACGAGGCATATAAACCAAATAAGTCCCAATCGTCAAACAATTGATCGTTTGATAACAACATCAACGATCCCAGGTTCCATAGAGCCAATGCAAACAACCTCGAACCATTCAACTTCTTCCTAAACTAGTCCTAAACTAAGCACTCAAAGAAAGAGTAAAAGATTAAAAATAAGAAAGGTCTCACCGGGAGGTTAGCTTAAAAGAATTAAGGAGCATAAAATACAGTTCACCAAATGTCACTCCACTCCAAACTTCCAAAAAGAAACCTACAAGGCAAGACAAGACACAAAAGAAAATATTAAAAGAGAACAAAGAAATAAATCAAAAAGAAAAAGAAAGGAGGGGGAGAAAAAGGTTTAGAAATCCTCTGGGTTGCCTCCTGGGAAGCGCTTGTTTATGGTCTGTAGGTTGACCCTTCACCTCATTCAAGGTGGATTAAAGAACATCACCCTCATCAACTTGAGGATTGAATCATAGATGCCCCCAAGCTTGAGAACTAGCACTCCTTGAGGTCTCACATCACCACAAGGAAAAGAAGGGAACGAATCAAGAGCCAATGGTAGCTCATCTTTTCTCTTTCTCTTCTTCTTGTTGATTCTTCTTCTTTTTTCTCTCTTCTTTCTTTTCCTTCTAAAAGGGGGATCGAGCTTGGAATCCTCAATATTAGGAAGAGACCTCACTTTCCTCAAGAGAGCCTTCAAACCAAGCGGGAACTTCAAGGAAGTCATCATCCCTCATTGTCACCCTTATCATCACGTGGAGGTAAGCTCTCATTAGCCATCACATCATCGACCACATTAACTCTACATACGCTCAGCGCCATAGGGCTCTTCAAAATGACATTCTCAACTAGCCTACAAGGAAAGGAAACCGGGTCTTCAAACTTGTTTGATTCACTAAAATCAAATGGCTCCTCATTTTGTTCTTGAACCTTCTTCTCAACCACATCATCTACAACCTTGTCCTCCTTGCAAGTTTCGGGTTGATAAGTATGTGAAGGGTTAGTAGATGATTGTAAGGGGAGTTTTGTGGTTAAATGGAGAGAAGAAGTGTTGGCTAGTTGGGAATCAACAACTTCATTGTAAGATTTGATTTCTTGGAATTGTGGAGTGATAGTTTGACGTTGTTGAAGAATTTGGGTTTGTGTGTGGTCGGGTGAGAATTTTTCTTCATACGCTTGAGGACATAGGTCATGATTTTTATCTTGAGAGTTCTCTACTTGGTTGGAAAGGTAGGAAAAGTTTTTGGTTGGTGGATTGAAGAGAGGTCCATCTTTGGGGTAGGAGTTTTCTTGCCTTGGAGGTTGTTGAAGTTGTTGGGATTGAGCTTGGGTTACAAACTCTTTTTCCATCAAAGTCAAAACTTCACCATGCTTGAGATTGAACTCTCTACAATAGGATGCATCATGATCCGTCCTACCACAACGAGCACATGAGAAATCAATGATTTGTGAGGGTTTTGAACACAAACCAACACTTGAGTTCAACTTGGAAAGACCTTCATTCAAGAGCTCAACTATGTGCTTAAGTTGGCCGACTTTCTCCAACTCATAAAGATCTCCTTTCTTCCCTTGGGACCTTCTTCGGCCTCCCCAAGAATAGCTAGTAGCCACTTCTTCAATTGTAGCTGCAACTTGGCTTTGAGGGATCTTAATCAATTGGCCACCGGCACCCACATCTAGATTGGTCCTTGACATTAGCTCCAATCCATCATAAAAGAATCTCATGAGCAAATAACGGTTGAATTCATGATGAGGACATGCTCTAATAAAATCCTTAAACCTTTCCCATGCTTCCCCAAGAGTTTCATCCGGTTCCTGCTCAAAGGAAGCTATCTTCCTCCTCATTTTTGCGGTTTGCTCATCGGAAATGAACCTCTTGAGAAAGGCCCTTGCAACTTCCTTCCATGTGGTGAAAGAGTTGGACTTCAAATGCTTGAGCCATTTTTTTGCTCTTCCGGTGAGAGATTGCTGAATGAGATGCATACGAATGTAATCTTGGCTCACTTCATTTGTTTGTATCATTGCACACAACTCAAGGAATCGGTCCAAATGCTCAATGGGGTCTTCATTTACGCCTCCGGAAAATTGCTCAATTTGCACCATCCTAGCATATTGTGGATGGATTGTGAAATTAGTCTCGGTGGTCGGGAGAAGTATACCACTCGTGAGCTCATAGATTTCCGGGTTTCCAAACTCCCTAAAGAGAAGGTCATCCTCTTGTCTTGCCATATCTCTCTTTGAATACAACAAAGCTAAGCACACGATTAGCAATGACAGGTAGGATTAAACAAGCAAAATAAAAGAAAGGAAAGCAAATAAAATGACTCTAACAATAGCAAAAATAAACGCTAAACAAGCCGCTTCCTCGGCAACGGCGCCAAAATTTGATCGCGGATAGATAGGACGTTAAGCTACCACCCTAACCAAATTAATCATTTATAAAGCCTAAACCTACACTAAACTAGTTAGTGGCAAGTAAAGGGTCGAACCACATGGGAAGCACGCTAATTCAACATCAAATATCAATGATGCAAGAGTGAAAGGGGGATTGTTTTTGTTGGTTTTGTTGAGTAAGAATACTAAAACTACAAATAAACAAGAAGATGATAATTAAAATCAATAGAAAATGACGCTAGGGATAAGGGGGTATCCAATATGATTAGAAAGAGGAGAATAATGGTGATTATCATGAAACTTATGCCAAAGAACACAAGATTCTACCTAAACAATTCATTCTCATGCAATAGTCTAGGCAAATCAATGAAAGAGGTCTACACTAATAAGGATCATTCTCATGCATCCTATTAGTTACAATCAAATCAAGAGAATAAAGAAGCACAATCCATAAAAACTCCACTTTAATAACTCATTCTCATGAAATCATTAAAATAGAGGTGATCTTAATCTAGTTCAAATCACTCTCATGCATTTAAACTAGAAAACATCAAATAGAGTGCAACAATAATCCCAAGCTAATAAAAATCATGTCTTTCATCAATATATGGCATAAGTTCAATCCAACCATCATCATTCATCCAAAATCAAATCATATCTTCCACCCCCTTCCCCTAGCCAAAAGTTTAGCCTAGGGAAGGGAGATTAAACACAATATCAAAACTAGAAATAAACTCAAAAAACTCAAAGCAAAACATAATTAAAATCAATGAAATCAATAACAACTAGCTGAACTAATAAGATAAACAAGAATAAACAACAATAAAACAATTCTTGCTTGATTGAAACTTAAACTTGAGCAAAGTTGAATCTTGGAAGAAAATTGAGCAATAATCTATTTTTCTCTCTCTAAAAATTATCTACTCTCACCCTAAGAGAGAGAAGCTCTCTCTAAAACTAGGAAGAAGATCTAAAAATATCCAGTTCCCCCGTACAAAAACAAGGCTCGCAAATATAAAGGAAGTCGCGAAAAAACGCTGAACAGGGTTCGCTGTGCGCCCGCACATGGCATCTCTGCGCCCGCGCATGGCAGCTGTGCGCCCGCGCATTCTTGGGTTGCGCGACTTGCTGCTTGGGTGTATGCGGCCGTGGTGCAGGCTGCGCGCCCGCGCACAAGTCGCGCGCAGGTCGCACAAAACTTTCTGCCTCGATTCTGCAATTTTGCCTCTTTTGCGCGGGTTCTGACAGGGCTGCGCGCCCGCACACATCAGCCGCGCGCCCTTACACGTTGCTTTCTTCGATTTTTCTCTCATGCTTCCTTGGCTTTTTCTATGCAATCCAAGACTTTAAATACCTAAGCAAAAACACCAAGGGAAGCAATAAGGTATAGGGAACGGTGAAAACACGCAATGAAGGCAAGCATTCAAGAATTTACGCGATTTCATTAAAAACACATCGAGACATGTATGCACGCATTCTTTGAACAAAACAACTACAAAACACCAACAAAATAACTACAAAACACCCTACGACAAGCTAAAACAAGGCATAAACACTATCCTAGGAGTGACATAAATGTCACTCATCAACACCTAGTGAGGTGAGAGTAGAGAAAGAAATTGTGAAACCCAAGCTTCCTTATCCACAAAAATTCATGAAACACAAGTTAGATGAACAATTTGGAAGATTTATTGACATGCTCAAGCAACTTCACCTTTCTCTACCATTTACCGAAGTTGTCGCCCAAATGCCCAACTATGCAAAATTCCTCAAATTTCCCGGATGCTCTTATAATGAACAAGATGCCACCTAAGCTCAAAGATCCCGGAAACTTCTCTATCCCTTGTGCCATTAACAAGATGCAAATTGATAATGCCTTATGTGACTTAGGAGCTAGTGTTAGCCTAATTCCATATTCAGTCTATCAAAGACTTGAGTTAGAAGAACTTTTTCCTTCCAACATTACCTTGCAATTAGCCGATAGGTCAATCAAATTTCCAAAGAGTAAGGTGGAGGATTTCCTTTTGAGAGTAGGGAAGTTTGTGATTCTGGTGGATTTTGTAGTTCTTGAAATGGATAAAGATGCTACCATTCCTATTATTCTTGGTAGACCTTTTCTTGCTACCTCGGATGCCATGATTGATGTTAAGAGTACAAATATTTCACTTAAGGTAGGAGATGAGGTCATTGTATTTGACTTGAATGAAAGCATGAAGTATCCATGTTCTTCTTTAGAAAACTGCATGATGATTGATTCTCTTGATCATGTTGTGTCTTCCATGCATGAGCACTTGCTGACTTCTAACGATGCTCTTGAGAATGTTTTGTTAAACAAGGAAAAGATAGGTACTCCTAGCAAGGAAATGACTTGGTATGAAGATGTGCTAAATGGAGGCATTGAGGATGTTAAAGAGCAAATGTGTTTGAGCATTTCTAGTTAAGAAGCGTTGTAAGTAGCAACATCAAAAAAAGGTAAAGGTGTTCCAATGGTTGAGCTCAAACCTGTCCCATCACACCTTAGGTATGGATTTTTGGGACCCAACTCCACTTTTCCCGTGATTGTTAGCTCTTCTTTGAGTGAGCACCAAGCTCAAAAGTTATGTGGTGTTTTGAGAAAGCATCAAGGTGCTTTGGGTTATACCATTGATGACCTCAAAGGTATAAGCCTTGCTTTATATACACATCACATAACTGTTGAGGAGGGTGCTTTACCTTCTATTGAGAGGCAACGAAAGCTACATCCTTAAATGGGAGAGGTAGTGAAGAAGGAGATCACCAAACTTTTGGATGCGGGAATCATTTTCCCCATTTCTAGTTCTAGGTGGGTCTCTCCCGGTCACGTTGTCCCAAAGAAGGGAGGTACGACCGTCGTTGAGAATGAGAAAGGTGAGCTCATGTCGACGAGGACGGTCACGGGATGGAGGATGTGTATAGACTATAGACGTCTAAACACATATACAAAGAAAGATCAATTCTCCCTTCCTTTATTGATCAAATGCTTGAGAGACTAACAAGGCACAAGTTCTATTGTTTTCTTAATGGTTATTCGGGATTTTTCTAAATCCCTATCCACCCGGATGACCAAGAGAAAACAACCTTCACTTGTCCATATGGTACATTTGCCTATAGGAGAATGTCGTTCGACTTTTGCAATGCTCCCGCGACATTTCGAAGATGCATGATGAGTATATTTGGAGATATGTTAGAAGAGGGGATGGAGGTTTTTATGGATGACTTCCCTATAGGAGGTGTTTCATTTGAGGCATGCCTTGAAAACCTTGAAAAATGTCCTACAAGGTGTGATAAGGTGAACTTGTTCTTGAATTGGGAGAAATGTCACTTCATGGTGGAGGAAGGCATAGTCCTTGGCCACAAGATCTCTCACAAGAGGATAAAGGTGGATAAAGCTAAAATTGAAGTCTTGAAAAGCATCCACCTCCGGTGAATGTAAAGGGAGTGAGATCTTTCTTAGGGCATGCCGGGTTTTATAGAAGATTCATCAAGGATTTCTCGCTCATTGCAAATCCCCTCAATGACCTTCTTAAAAAGGATGCCGAGTTTGTATTTGATGATAAGTGTTTAGAGGAATTCAATAAGTTAAATAAAGCTCTAATCTCTACTCCTATTGTTCAAGCTCCAAGATGGGATTTACCACTTGAGTTGATGTGCGATGCAAGTGATTTGGCAATAGGAGGTGTCTTGGGTCAAAGAGTGGACAAGAAACTTCATGTGATTTATTATATGTCCAAGACTCTAAATGAAGCTCAACGGAATTACACTACAACGGAGAAGGAATTCTTGGCTATAGTTCATGCTTTTGAGAAGTTCCGTTGTTATCTATTGGTTTTCAAGACCATTGTCTTCACGGATCATGAGGCTCTCAAGTATCTTTTTGCTAAGAAAGAGTCCAAGCCAAGGTTGATCCGGCGGGTTATTGAACTCCAAACCTTTGACATTAAGATTAGGGATAAGAGAGGAGCGGAAAATGTTGTGGCGGACCATCTATCTCGTTTGGAAGATTCTCAAACTCATGATGATGGTTCTCCAATTGAGGATAGGATGCTTGATGACTTCTTGTATGCTATTGAAGCAAATGAGCTCCTATGGTTTGCCGATTTAGTGAACTTTCTTGCATGTGGGAAGTTTCCTCCTTCCTATTCTAAGAACAAAAAAAAGAAGCTCAAGAGAGAGGCAAGACATTATGTGTGGGATGATCCCATCTTATACAAGCGAGGGGTCGATGGCTTACTTAGAAGTTGTGTGCCAAACGAAGAGGTGCCTAGTGTTTTGAAAATGTGCCACTCGGATCTGAGTGGGGACCATATGGGTGTTTCTAAGACCGCCACTAAGGTCCTTCAATGCGGTTTATGGTGGCCACACCTCTTTAAGAACTCATGGGGCTTTGTAAAGACATGCGATCGATGTGAAAGAGTTGGAACATCTCCAAGAAAAATGTAATGCCTCAACAACCCATACTCGAGTTGGAAGTGTTTGATGTATGGGGTATTGATTTTATGGGGCCATTTCCCTCATCTTTTGGAAATAAATATATCCTTGTGGCGGTCGATTACGTGTCTAAGTGGGTCGAGGCCATTGCCTCCCCAACTAATGACCACAAGGTGGTTATGAAGTTGATTAAGAAAATAATCTTTCCAAGATTTGGAGTACCAAAGGAGGTGATAAGCGAAAATAGTTCTCATTTTATTCAACATGCCTTTCAAAAGATGTTGAGGAAGCATGGAGTCCATCAACGATTTGGCCTCCCATATCATCCCCAATCGAGCGGCCAAGTAGAAGTCTCCAATCGTCAAATCAAGCTAATCCTTGAAAAGACG